GAGTTCAGACGTGTGCTCTTCCGATCCCCCCAAAACCCCAAAACCCCATGAGATTTATCTATCAGATTCTTAGAAGTAGTGGTTGAGATAGATTAATTAAGATTTATACAAATAAATAATAATAAAATTAAATTGAGAAGATGCAATAATAGTAGCTACCAAGTATTACATTACGCTTCTATTCTAAATTTAACTATAGAAAGAACAAGAATTGTGCAAGTATCAGCTGGCCACGCTTCAGATGCTCCCAGAGTAATTAATTCCTCTTTAATATGTTAGATGCTTACAGAAAACAATTCAGATGAACAACCTATCATCGTCATGGTCAAAAGATCCTACTGCTGCTGTTGCTGTGACTTGAAGTTTGATATTCCTGCTGGTCTTACTACCCTGGAAGAGAGCTGTGGTAAAAGCACAGGTATTATGAGACCAGGTGCTCACTGGTGTTATTGCAGCTGTAAAAGAGTTGCTTGTATGCTAACAAAAGCTATTGTTAATTATGATGCTCCTGTAAGAATATATAATTCATTTTAGAATTATTAATAACTATCATTAATAGGTCCATAACTGCCCTACAAAGGATAATGCTTATATCTCAGTTGATTTATATTTCTCTTTCAGAATGCCCACTTAAGTGACAGAGGTTAAAAATTTCGTCTACAGACTAGGTGCATCTAGATTTGATGAGTTACTCTATGCTGAAATCGATGAGAACATCAGAACATTTATTAATGGAATCTGGTTGAGTCAAGTATTTGACTTGAAAGGAGAAATGGCAGCTAAGATGATCTAAGAACTCAATAGTAAATTTGCTTAATTTGGAGTTACCTTCGAAAACTGCAATGTCAAATAAGTCCTTGTAAACCAATAACTAACTTAAGCACTCGAGGAAAAAACAAAACTCAAGTACACATTAGCTAATCACATCAAAGAATATGAGAATCAGAAATTGACATTAGAAAATCATGAGAACTAAGAATTGACTGACTTGAAAAGAGAAAATGAGAGGAAGATGGCTGATCTAAGAGCCTAAATAGAGAGAGCTAAGGTTGAATAAGAGCAATTTAGAATGTAAGCCAATACATTATAAGAAGTAGCCATCGTTAAAGCTGAAGAAGTTGGCTCAGTTTTAATCACTTAAGTGGAGGGAGAGAAATCTATTGCTGAATCCTAGATAAAGGCCCAGGTTATCGATATTGTTAATAAGGCAAAGGCATCAGCAAATTCAAATATCAGAAATACTGAGCAAAAAGCACAAGTTATGGGAATTGAGGCTGAAGCAAGACTCCTAGCCACAAGAGCCAAGTATGCTGCCCTAGTCGAAGAGGGTAAATCAGAGCTGAAAAATCTTGAGGCCTTTGAGGCTCAAAGAAGACATAACTACGAAATGAGCAAGGCAAAGGCATTCGGAGATTTGGTGCAACAACAAAATAACATTGTATTCAGTGGCAAATCAGGAGATGCCCTTCTCAGTCAAGCTTTGGATTTCAGCGAGGGTCAGCAAAATGTTAAGAAGTAATGAGAAATTCAACAGTTGTGACACTTATCATGACACCATGCTTATCATTCTTACCTATTAATAACCCTTATTTCAAGTTAAATTTGAAAATCACTAATAAACTTATATGTTATTAAGCTTTTAATTTGTCCTACTTGTACTAAATTCTCAAAGTCCTATTTTAATAATTACACAGTATATAATTATTATAAAATAGCAAAAATGAATTAATAGAAATCAGCCAATAGTCAAGCTAAAACAGTAAATCAAAGAGAGTTTCTTGAAGAAAAAAAAGAGTTTTCAAAGATTCATAAAGCTAACCTGTGCATGTTCTTCCTCTACCTATTTATTTATGGATTCCTAGTGCTAATGGTTATTGCTTGGGCAATTACACCCGATATGCCAAAGTCTCTTGAAGGTGAGGATAATACTATGGAATTATCTGATTTGATGAAGAGTATGCTATAGAGTTTCCAAAATATGTCGAAATATGAAAACAAAGAAAGAGAGGGACTGTCATGATCAATGATTGAATTTTCTAATTTATCTGCATAATTAGTTATAGTCATTATTTTATGAGTTATCCCTTCAAGAAATATTTTCAACATGCGGGGTTTTGGGGTTTTGGGG